TTAAGAGGTAAACAAACAACCACTGAATGTGATAAAACGTACCCTATACTTGATAATGTAATTATTTTGAAACTTAAAAGATATTGAAATCTCAAGGAAAAAAGGAAAAGAAACTACAAATTATATAAATACACTTTTAATTATCTAATAGTTGTATTATTAATTATATGACACATTTATATAAACGAACACCATCGAACAAAAATGAACGTACATAAATAAATGAACGCTAACGAACCTACATAATAGAACTAACGAGATACTCGCTTCTTTAATTAAATGAATAAAAAAACTTGCAATCTTCATTCGATTATTAAATGAACAAGTATAAGTTAATTTTTGTCAAACAGTTCACTAAATGTTTTTTTTTGTAGTATATAAAATTTATATACGGCAAAAGATAACAAAAAAAAAACGCACACACTCTCTTCACCTCCGACTTAATTAATTAATTAATTGATTATTTATTCATTTTTCTTTTTATTAATTAATAACTTAACACTTAATCTAATCAACGATAATTCTTGATTTGTAAAGATCCCACTAAACATGTCCCTATTTGAATGTTTGTATTAGTTTTTGAAATGTAGACTATTGAATATTGTAAGCTTATCCTTGGGTTAGTACAAAAGCATACAAATTCTAACATGTACTAACTTAGGCCCTGTTTCCCAAACACTTATTCGGGTAAGCGCTTACCAAGTCACGTTACTTTAACGAATTAATAAAACAAAGACCAAAAATTTTATCCGGTAAGAACGAGACAAAGAACAAGAGTCGGACCGGGTAAGTGAAGGCGACGACTCTTACTACGGTAAGAGTTTATCTGGTAAATTATTGCATATTGTGTCGTTTTAGTGGACTAAAATCTTACCCGGTAAGTAACTTGAATTTTATCGGTAAACGTTTATCGGGTAGATTTTTGGTAAACAACCCCTTGGTTTCAGTTAAGTTGATTCCAAGTATAGTTGGTTGATACACTATATAAGATTCTCCATACTAATTTTAGTTGGTTGATATCAATGTTTTAAAGGCTCACAACAACAACCACTACAAAACAAGTGATTTTTACACTCAGGAAAATTTCTGTTGGTGATTATATATAGACGGATCACCTTGAAATACCAATGGTTCAGTAGAATCCATTGTTTTTCGAGAAAATACTAATTGATCACCCAGAGAAACTTTGGGTAATCCGTCACTGATTTGAATTTTGAATTATCCACCAATTTTTGTGACGGTTTTGTAACGAATCACCATTTAGTGACAAATATTTAAGGGGAATATCCGTAGGCAAAAGTCTTTCATTTAGTAGTGAACTGACGTGGCGCGCTGTGGCTCAAGATTTGTATCTAATGCTACATTAAGTGTGTGGCTCGCCATGGCCTAATATGTGGTTTCTTAATGCAATATTTGATTTTTCTTATTTTTTTAATGTCTTACTTGTGGTTTAATATATAACCTAATTTAAATTGTTTATTATTACTGACTTATTGAGTATAGTAGAAAACACACACACACACACACACACACATATATATATATATA